TTTATGCATAGTAACATAATATATTAAAATACTTATTCATTTATCCTCCTAACCCAATGTCTCATATTATCAGAACTAATCACACCCTCATAAGGCACTTGAGTGTGTTGAAAACCCTCGATGTCTTTGACTATAAATCTATCATTTGGTAAAACTGTCTATTACCTATATATGGACCTTTAAACTTGGGTATTAATTTTTTATTTACACCCACACTTACATCTGTGTTTTTAATCATAATAAAATCTCCTTTTTTATACAAGGTAGGTTTTTTATGTTTTTCACCATAGTATTTTTTATCATATGATTGAGTTTTTAATATATTATCTTCACCCTCTCTCCTTATTTCCTCCAAATTCCCGACTTTGTCCACTTTTAACAATAATCTTTTAAACTCATTCTCCATTGTACTACCTTGATGGACTCCAAACAATAATTTAGATGGGGCTTCAACCGTCGATGAACATGACATATTATTCAATGCATACTCAACCTCAGCTAGTTCTTTGTCCCACTTATTTAAGGCTACTGTATTTTTGCCAGAATTGCAGTTATACAACGGTTCACTCTTTCGACTTGCCCATTTCCCCGAGGTGTTGCAGTTGCCACTAGTACTAAGTCTATCTTTCTCTGGGTTAGAAATTCTTTAAACGCATTGGACGTGAAATCTAAACCTGTGTCTGACACTACCTATTTCGGTTTACTCTAACATCTAAAGTAATCACTCATATATTTAAGTACTTCTACCATGTTAGTCGTCTTACAGGGTTATAATCTAACAAATTTTGTAAATGCATCAACTATAACAAATAAATATTTATTCTTCTTACCAGTCTTCTCAAGTGGACCATAATGGTCAATATGGATTGTATCAAACGGTATTGGAGTCTTAGGAATAGGGTTCAACTAACCCTCCTTCTTTCCATAAACTGGAGAATATGAAATACATTTCAAGCAAATTTGAAATACAATTTTTTACTTCTTCCCTTAAATTAGGAAACCAAAATGTTCTCAAAATCACCTCACTCGTTTTTTCCATTCCCAAATGACCATATTCTTCATGCACTGGCCTTATCAGGTTGACTTCTATACTACTTGGGGCATAAAATAACAGTTCACTTTTGTATTTTCTATGTACCAAACCATTCCTCATTTCAAAGTATTTATCTTCTGACTTACTCAACCTCTCTTTAAACTTGTCAATACCTTTATCTTCAATGTGTTTAATTGACAATGTTTGCTCAAAAGTATTAGTTAATATTAATATATTGGTATTCCAGCTTAACGCATCAACATGTTTCATTTTACTACCTGCACGATGTTCAATACTAAAACCATAGTTTTGGAATGATAACGCCCATCTTGCTATCCTGGGATTTAAATCTTTTTTGTTCATGGTCAGCTTAAAACTCTTTACAATCAGTGAACACTTTAAACTTAATCCCATTTAGGTAAACATGAAAACGCTTTACAGCATATACTAATGCTAAACACTCCAATTCGTAACTTTGATATTTAGCTTCAACTTCAGTGGTTCCCTTACTATAATAAAACACATAGTGCATCAGACTAGCTTAATGTTTTTGTAATAGTATAACGCCATAACCTAAAGCATCGCAGTGTACCTCTGTTTCAGCTTTCGGCAAATATAATGCCAGAATCGTTATTTGTACCAACTTCTTCTTCGACAGTTCAAAGACCTGCAACTCTTTCTCCCCAAACCTAAACTGAGCTCCCTTTTTTTAAATTTGTTCACATTATCTACATAGTATTTAATCGTAAAACGCCTAGCGACAAATATACCGTCAAGAGTGTTTAAAAGAAATTAAATAATTCCTAACAGTATACAGTTGGCTGTACCATTTCGCGGCCAAATTAATCCCATTTTGCCGCCGACCCATTTCGCCGCATAAAATTATTTTTGTCTTAGATCATGGTTATGAATTTGTGATTTGAAAAGTGATAAATAGACACAGATAAATATTTATCAGAAATATTTATCGTTTGAAACGATCTTAGTGCTATACTATCTCAATTCTGAAGTTATCGATTGATAAATCCCCAATAATTATATAAATAAAATAGAATGAATAGTGTGTCGTCGCAGCGATAATTGCAAAGTTACCACAGTCGGTGTCATATGATTATCACCAGTACGTATTTGCGCATTTATACAGTTCACAATTTTTAAATAATAATGTCGAATATTGAATATATTTCTATACAGCGAAAAGGGGAGTGCCTTATTTTTAATAACTATTATTTTAGAATTGATAAAAAAATAAAAAATAAAAAATATTGGAAGTGTATTGAAAACTTTGGAGCTCGTGTAATAATTTCAGATGAATTCACTGTACATTCCGATAAGTTTTGTAATCATAACCACAGTCCTCGTCCAGTTAAAATTGAAGAAAAACGTTTTAAGGCCAAACTTCGTTTGAGAGCAAAAGAAAACCCTCTTGAACCAATTCCGAAGGTAATTATAAAAATTTTAATAAATAATTTTCGAAATATTTCACTTATTTTAATGCTGTTTATAGGCATTTGAAATATTCGTTTTTGTTTATTATTTTTGTATATGTATTTTATTTATTTTGTAGGTATAATTCATAAAAATGTTGTGCAAATAGCTAAGAGTTACTTATTGACCACTCATATTTATGTATTTATTCAAAATAAAGAATAATAATAATTTAAAATAATAATTATACTTACTGCATTGTATACGTAATAATTAAAAGAAAAGTTAGGATTTTTAAGATTAAATTATTTAAATATTAAAGATGTTTAATAATATACTACGACCACAATCCACACTTATAGTTTAATATATTGGTATATAATATATATATATATATATATAACTGTACAGTTATATATATATATATATAACTGTAGTAGATACCTACCCTAAGTATAAATTTACTTATTTATTTCAATAGATTTATAAAGAAGTTCGAACTTCATTTTTAAGACAAAAAGGAGATTGTGTAACCCAAAATGAAAGGGAAGAAGCAGTAGCAACATATCAATCAGTAAAATCAAGTATTCATCGAAATAAACGTAAGGAAGTTCCTCCACAACCTGAAAATAGAAAAGACCTACATATACCAGGTTTATGGCGTCAAACATTAGATGGAAGAAATTTTATTTTATGTGACGATGGTTTAGATGATAAAATTTTAATTTTTGGAACGCCAGAAATTTTTTCTAAAATGTGTGACGCTAAAACTCTGTTTATGGATGATACTTTTGAAAGTGTACCAAACATATTTTTACAATTATATACTATACATTTTGTATATTTTGATGTAGTATTCCCATTTCCCAGGAATGTATGCTTTACTTCCAAATAAATCTGAAACTACATATAATCGAATGATTGACCTTTTAATAGCAAAAGCTAATAGATTAGGAAAATGTCTATTGCCAACAACTTTTCAATTAGACTTTGAAATAACGATGTTTAATACAATAAAAAATAAATATCCAGATGCAAAAATTCGTGGTTGTTTTTTTCATTATACTCAGGCAGTTTATAGGAAAGTTGTTGATGTTGGTCTTCGAAATGATTATGTTTCATCGGAAGGTGATCCATTAATTAAAACTCTAGTTCGTAGAATTTCAGTTTTACCTATAGAACAGTTAGACGATTTATGGTTAATAATAGAGAGTGAAAAACCAGAAAATAATGAAAAAGTGGAAGAATTGTTAAATTATTATATTGAAACATGGTTAGACGATTTAACACCTAGATTTAGCCGATATATTTGGAACCACTGGACTAATACAGATAGACGGACAACGAATGATTTAGAAGGTTGGCATTATGCATTAAATAAAGCAGCAGGTCGAAATCATCCCAGTATATTTGAATTTATAGTTATATTACAAAAAGAACGCACCAAAATTGAGGATGACAAGAAACTTCATCAACGTGGAAAATAAGTAAAAAGAATTTACAACAAATATGTTAAGCTGGAACAAAGAATTTATAGTCTTAAAGAAAGAGTGACGAGCGATCCTCCGCAGATGAAATGGATTGATTATTTGGACAATATTAGTTATTTAATTAAACACAATGAATAATTGTTAAGTAATCATACTAAAGCATAGTTTTATTTTTGTTTTGTCATGTCTTTCTGTTACACCTTGTAAAATAGTAAATAAAAAAATCAGAATATTTAGAAAACAATTTTTTTTTTTATATATAATTATTGAAGATATATTTAACTTTTTTAAATACAATAATTTATGTAGGATTAAACAAAAAATTTCAATACGTATATTATAAAACGTAAAGGTATAACAATTAATAGGTAATACTAAATTATAGGCAAGTATAATATATTATATAAATATATATATTTCTTCTTAGTTGAGGTGTGGAAGAAAAGAGTTTTTACTAGTTCTGACAGTCTTGATTATTATGCATTTATGAAAATATCAATGCGTTCAAATCACTGGTGTTATCTACCACGCATCACAATCTCATAGTTCACACTTCACGTCATTACAACAGGAATATTTAAAAAAAAAAAAAAATAGTATAAAAAATCAAATTATTTTGCAGATTTGGGATAATATTATTATGAGTATTATCAATTGATGAATTAATGATTCATTTGAAAATATTATTAGTACTTATTAACTACAAATAAAACAATGAATAATTGTTGAGTAATCTTAAGTTGAGAGTTACTTAAAAAATAAATTCGGCGAAATGGAACTGCGAAAAAATAAATTCGGCGAAACGGTACCGCGGCGAAATTAAATGGCGGCGAAATGGGAGCTGACCGCTGTGTTCGGTACGATTCATTGTCGCAAGATAGGTATAATAATTGTTCGCGATAGGGACCGGTCGGCTTATCTTTATTATGTATAAGGTAGGCTACGATCGCCGACGGTCCGTTAGTTAGTTGCTCAAAAGGCTGCCACGTAAACACATCGAAACGCCGCCGCAAACCGAATATAAAAATGTTTAATTATAATAAATATAGTTAATAACCATCAATCGCGTTTTGTCTTAACAGCCTGGTTGTAATTGGACAACTTGGTGCGATGTGCGCTCTGGACCCGAAGTTAAAACATATACGATTCATTCGCATAAAAACACCCTTTTGACTTTCTCCCCTTGCATTTTCCGCTTGTTGTTTAGAACCTTCCACCTTGGGTATCGGCTTTTCATTCGAACTTGAAAAAAAAGGTTTACTCTGAAACCGTCCATTCCTCTGCTCTACTATACGTAAGTAGTCCATGATATCAAACAACAATTCATCTTCATCGTTATGCGTACGACTTAACAAACCTAATCTCCCAAATAAAAATAATAATAATAATAATAATAATAATAATAATAATAATAGTAATCGTAATAATAATAATAATAATAGTAATCGTAATAATAATAATAATGTTAATAATCATACTATCACAGTAATATTATATAGTAGGCTAATTGACCATATTTGCTCAGAATCATTCTCCTTATAAAATTATATTATATAATTGAATTCAAACTTAACACCATCCATTACAGTGACTCACTTGTAACCTACTATACAGTAGAGCGACACCCACTTGCCCACCTATTTTACAACTGCAATTTTCATTTTCATTTTTAATTAAATAATTAATTTAACTGTAGATTCTTGATTGTTTCACCAGATATTTGTAAGTAGCTAGGGGAGTCCGGAACATTTGAACAAAGAGTAGACCTGAACCACGCTCATATTATTATTTAATTTCGCGCTCCTTAGACAACAGCTGGATCATAACTTTCATTATTACTTCATAAACTCACCTATGTGACAACACAACATTTCAAAATGCCGTTTTGATGTTATCAAAGTAAAAAAAAATTGTATAGTATTGTTTGCTCGTCATTTATTCATATATTAAGATATATATTTACTGTATTCATCAATAGTTCGCAATTTTATGTATAGTTTCATGCAATATTAACTAGTTTTATCAATTGTTTTATTATTATTTATAAAAAGTATTTGTAAAAATGTTACAATAAGTGTTAAACTATAATTCAAAGTCTGAAAAATGGTTGTCTATAATATAAAAATAAATCGCTGAATGTGTTGCTAAGCGCCAATCTCGAGAAAGGCTGGTCCGATTTGGCTCAAATATTTTTTGAGATATTCGTAATTGCCAGGAGAAGGTTTTTACAAAAGAAAATTTTAGGAAAAGTAGTAAATCTGGATGTGAAAAATACAACATTGAAGCAACAGTGTATTATATATTGGTTGCTATTGGTTAATCGGGCATGTTTGTTATTTTGTATTAATATTTTTTGTCAATATATACATATATATATAATTGAACCGATTTCGCTAATTCTTTTTTATAATATTCCTTGAAGTACGAGGATGGTTCTTAAGGAGAGACAAATTTAAAAAATTAAAAAAAACTTTTTAAGAGCGTATAATTCTACTGTACCTACGTGTGTTGAGATTGAACCCTTCCTAAACGGTTAGACCGATTTGAATGAATTTTTTTGTATGCGTTTGGGTGACGCCCCGGATTGTTTAGATTCACAAATTATCACTCTAGATTCAACCTAGGGATGTGCTCAAACGGGGATTTAGAGATTTTAGGTAGACATTTTTGTTTATTAATGGTCGCCATGGGTTTTAACACTTTAATAATAATAATTATTGGTTGCCGTGAAATCGGTGTACCTATATTCATTCAATGCATTTAATTTTTTTGTACGCTGTGTTTTGATATTATATGTATCACAATTACGTAAATATTGAGCCTATTATTATACTCACATGTAAGTTACGTACATAAAACAATGCCACGTCTTCACAGACTCGACATTCACAATTAGCCCAGCCGTTTAGGAGAGGTTCATTGACATATTTGGTATAATTTTGATACTTTAGAGTTCAATTATACACTTACGTACAAACAGCACGGGGTCTACCCCAGGTAGGCAATCTACCTGATAATATTATACTGCTGCGAAGCAGAAATTTTATTCCAGGCAACAGAAAATTTAAGATACATTTTGAACACCATACACCGATTATTAAATAACGAATAGAACAATGTTTGAGTCATATAGAGTTAGTACATTTTAGTACATTACTTTTACAATAAAACCCTCTGGGTTTTTGGGGTTTTATTTGAAAAAAATCTGAAAATAATATAACCTGGTTGGGTTTTTTCTATATAGCCCGAGTTTTTGGCAACCCTGATTGACACCATATGCGAGAAGAATGGATTTATAAACACTTTATTTTTATCAACAATTTACTATACCTATTATGTATGTGTTCTTATTTTAGTTTTAAATGTATAATTTTTTGTTTTGACATGTCAATGTTTACACGTTTTGGTAATAATTAAAATATATTCCAATCATTGCGAGTTTTTCAACATAAAAAATAAATGTTTCTTCATGTCTAAAAAAAAAACTCACGATTTAAAAATTTGTTATGCCTCCTCAGTCCTCGGCCACCGTAGTCTGAACACGTTTATGATTTAAAACCCACCAATCTAAAGTTGGAGAGCAAACAAGCGTATTAAAATATATCTATAACCTATATATACATGATTGAAGACTATGAGTATGAGGTAAAAATTAGTAAAAACGCACTTTTTTGTTAGTTAGTATCTGCATTTTCTTGTTGAAAGAATTTTGTCTAGTGCATTACTTAAAACTCAATACAAACTATCAATCATCGGTATCATTTATCTGAACAATCGTTTAAAACCGGGTTTTTCAATCTGTGCTTCGCGGCTCTCAGGGGCGCCACCGATTATTGTCAATAGAGCCGCAGTAGAAAATGAAAATATGTTTATTTTATTATTATCAATATTTGTATGTGATCCGTTTAAATTGTTTACAAAATTAGAAGAGCCGTGGATACCAAAAGGTTGAAAATCCCCGGTCTAAAATATAATTAGTTTTGTAAATGAATAAGTTCTTAAAAGTGACAAACCATAAGCTTGAATAAGTTTTTAAAAGTGAAAAATCTTAAACTTAATAAATAAAGGCTTCAAAAGGTTTTTGTACAAATCACCACTATTATATTAGTTACTAGCCGACCCGTCACAGCTTCCCTATAGATTACAGGTTGTTTATTTTGCCTTCGGACGATGGTATGTATATTTTTTATTCAAATATTATCGTTTAATGTGATCGGCAAGTAAATATACAAAGCAGTTAATGAAAACGTATTGAAATGTTTCTAGCGGTATTAATGATAAATATATTTTTATTAAAAATAGCTGATCCCGTGCACTTCGTTGCCCGTTAAATGTACCTACCAACTCTATATATATGACTCAAACTTTGTTAAATTCGTTATATAATATTCGGTGTATGGTGTTTAAAACTTATCTTAACTTTTCCGTTGCCCAGAATAAAAATTCTGATTCGCAGCAGTATATTATCAGGTAGGCAATCGCGGACCCCTTGCTGTTTGTACGTAAGTGTATGATTTAACTCTAGAGTATCAAAGACCAAAGTTGTACCAAGTTTCTCGTTTTACTTTTACTTAAATAATAACCGAACCGTACTAAAATATGATGAATAAAATAATGAAAGGATTATTTTATATTATATAAAAGGGACTGAAATTCAAAAGAAGTGCATATTTGAAAGTCACATGATTTATTATAAGTATGTGTAACTGGAATGAACGAAACGTAGTATCAAAACCATGAACAAATAATAAGTCAATTATGATATGTAAATATGTTATAACTTAAGTCATATATATATTATTATTTATTGCGTATAACTTATAAGTCACAACAGCGACTAAGCCTCAAGAGATTCTTACTAAAAAGTTAAACATTCACAATTTTCATTTACATTTCAAACTAACACACCTGTTTTTCTTCGAACAAAAGTATATATTATAATATGTTGATTTAGAGTAACTTAATTGTTTCTATAAATATGTAATTGTTAAAACTTACTAAACCAGTAAAGCTCAATGTTATTATAATACAATTATTTATGAAGTTGCGAAATCATAATACATTGCTGTGTTACACATTTGTTAGGGTTCAGTTAGCACGTTATAGTACTTAATATATTATTTAAAATTAATTACACATCACTTATTAGTTATTATTATTTGTGTATATATAGACATGACACAATATTACATGAATACAAATATGAAATCGTATTCTGATATTCATACCCACACACACTTTTATAGGTAGACTCATTTTAAAATTATTCACATTATTTTTTTATAAACATTTAAATTTTAAAGTTCAAAAATTGACAAAATATGGAAAAATCACGAAAATAACAAATTATTTTGAGTTAAGAATTCGTAAAAATTTGTCTTTTTAAATCTAAGATTTGAAAATATAATAATAATAAAAAGATTCCTTATAAAATTATCTACCTTTATCAAAACAAAAATGTCTATAAGAAAGTCAAATTAAATTTTTATGAGCGTTTGAAAACACAGTTATTTTTTACAGACATTTTAAATTCAAATTTGGACGAAATTACATAATAAAAAACCTAGAATATCTATTTTAGTTATTTTGTTGTGATTGTATAATATTTTTCGTGTGTACTTGAAACTTCTAAAGTATACTACTATATTATATCTATGATAATTGATAGTATCAGGGTTTGTTGTTGGTGTATAACGCGTTAACCTAATGGATATTGTGATATGATTAATTTGGAATTCATTATAGGTCAATTTTTTTTAATACCATAGATAAGTATATAATATGTCTTATACCTAGAAGGACATACCGTCTCCGTTCAGAATCGTTTTTCTTATACAATGATATAATATCATTGAATTCAAATGTAATAACATCCATTATACAGTGAGCCACTTGTAACCTACTGTACAGCAGAGCCGGAGCCGGGAAAATTGCGTCCCCCAAAAAAGGTCATAGTTAATAGTTATATACTACCTACGTAATTGCGGCCCATGTACTTTTAAAACATGCGTAAATTGCGTCCGGAGTTCATTTGAAACGTACGTAAATTGCGGCCCGGGTATATTTGAAATGTACGTAAATTGCGGCCTGGGATATTCCGATTTCCGGTCGGCTGTACAATTTAAAGATATGTATTAATCTTTGATTGATCAATGTAGATAATGATAATATTTTTTTTTAATTTAATAAAAATGGACGTTATGAAAAGTGAAAGGAATAAAACTTTGAAAGTAGTTGATGGTTTCAAATTTCGTTTTCACAAAATGCTAAAATATGATATTCAGCGCTGGGTATGCACAGTTAAAAC